GCCTCAGCCCCTACAAACCCCACCTCTGTCTCTACAAAAGACTCTCCCTGCCCCAGCCATGTTGCTTTTGTCTCTCCTTTGTTCAGAGACAGCCCGGCAGATCTATTCCCCTAATAAAGGCTTGTTGTGGCCTGGTCTGGTCTTGGTCTTTGACCCTTTTACCTGACAATCCCCAGTACCAAAAAAGATAAAATAAAATAAAATAAAAATAAAGATTAAAAGAATAAGTTCAGAAATGAATGAAAAGGAAATAAAGAGCAGAATATAGAATAAAAGAAGCTAGGTTTTTTTTAAATTTTCCTCTTAAACTACATTTGGGATGTTAAATGCTAACTAGGAGGAAGACAGAAGCAGGCTAAAAGCAATCATAAGATGGACCACATGATCTTGGCCTGGCAAACCCTATCTCCACTGATCCACAGGCCACCCCAAGACTTCTGCACACTGTCCTTTGGGCAGTTTTAATCTCCTTTTGTCCCTCCAACCATTTCATCCCAACCCTCTCTCCATTCCAGGACAGCCCTGGCAATTTCACATTCTTCCTCTCTCCCAACCACTACTCCCAACCCACACCATGCAGATCCACCTTCCCCAAAACAATCACAACCATAACAGCAACAGTTAAAATAGTCAGATAATCAATGAAGAAACTTCCTTTTTTTAAGCTTCCACCCTCCAGGAAGAACACACAGCCTTTGTTTAGGCTTTTATTTATCATGTGGATGGAACTCACTTATCTAGGTTTCAAAAGCAGAACCAAAGAAAACTCTCCACCCTTACCTGTGTCAGAGGAGTACCAGCTGGTAGTGGAATTTAAAATGAAGAAATTACTGAATTATCCAATAAATCTTTATACAAACTATGTGCTCCTGCACACTCAAAAATTTATCTTTACATGTTTCTCAGAAAACACAAGGGAAAAAAAAAAGAAAGCACAAGGAAGACCAATAAATTCAGAAGAAACTGAACTTTTATACCTGAGTGTAAATCTATCTTATACTTAAAATGTGAAATTCATTTCATGTAAATGTTATTTAATTTTTGTGGTGCTAAGGATTGAACATATGGCCTTGTGCATAACTAGGCAGATACTTCTACCACTGAGCTACATCCCCAGCCCAAAATGGTTTCATTTAAAACAGGCCTGGTGGTGTATCCCTGTAATCCCAGCTACTCAGAAGGCTAAGGCAGAAGGACTGAAAGTTTGAGGCCAGAATGGACAACTTAAACAAACCCTCTCCCAAAAAAATTTTTAAAAGTTTTT